TTCTTATTTCAAAGTATTCTTCCAATAATTAATGAAATTAGTCAAAAGGACTTAATGACACAAAATTGTAGAATTGCTGAATATGATTTAATCTCTAATGTTTTTGGTAATTCAATGTATATTGATTTTGCATTAAATCAAAATGAAGAAAATATTAATTGTCATATTAAAATACTTTTTGATGAAATGTTAAATCAAGTTATTGATGATTTTGATAAAGAGTCTAAGTGTTCATTTTCAATTGCATTATTTTCTATGGTTATTGGATTAACTCATTTCCCATATATTTATGATTTCATTATTCCTCTTTGTGAAAGAGTTAAAATTTATTTAAATTATTTTGTTGAAAATAAAGATGAAAGTAACAGTATTTTATTCTTAAATTTAGTAAATTATATTAATATCTATTATAGTCATATTAATCCTTCTCTTTTCATTATTTTAAATAATGATTTAGTTCAATCTATTATTACACCAAATTGTAGACTCTTCTTTTCTTCTAAAACAGTTTTACTTGAATACTATAACATTCTTCTTTCATTTAATTTACTTGAAGAAAAAATTGCAAAAGATGTCTTACTTAAAGTGTTTAATGGAATTGTATTAAATCAGTTACAAGACACTCATATTACTATAAATCTTTTTAATGAACAACAACAACCTTCAAATAATATTATATTTAATGGTCCAAAAGAAGTATTAAATCTTACTGCAAAATTATTTAGTAAAATGGTCAATTATTCATTTAAAGAAGAAAAAAAAGTTGGTGTAAAACAAAATGAAAATGGGTTATTTTTACTTGGAGAATTATTAAAACATTTTGATACTCAAACACATTCTTATCAATTATTTAATTGTTGTTTTATAATGAATGAAGCAATTAAAGGTTTAATTGAATATGACAAAGTTGATAATGAAAGTATTGAACTTGTAAAACAACTTTTTATTTCTGTTCAAAATTGCACAAATAAGGAATTACAATTTAGTTCTATTCAATGCGAATTATTATATTCTGCTTCTTTGTTATTAGTTTATAATAAAATAGAATTACAACCGTTATCTAATGATTTTTTAAAAGCAACTAATTCTAAGTCACCACTCATTCTTCAAAAATTAGTCGCCTTTCATATACTTTTTGATAATAATTTATCATTCTTACCTTTTGATCTATCTTTTTCTGCTTCTTTAATTCCTTTAATTTACCAAGGAAGAATTAAGGAACAAAAACAACTTAATTGGGTTGTTGAGCATTTTGATGAAGTTGTTTTATTACCACTTTCATTTGACATTATTCAATGGTTATTCTTTGGGATACCTTTTACCAAAGATACAATTATTTCATTTTTTAATCCATCTTTTGATAAAGATGAATTTATTGATTTATTTGAACATCAATTTTTTTATGACTCTGATATTACTACTATTCCACCAATCATAAAAAAAGAAATAATCCCTGATATTAATACTGTTGTTGTTATATCACAAACCCTTCGTTTAACTTTATTTAATGAATTTCTTATTCGTATCAAAAAACAAAAAATTCCAATGACAATTAGTGAATGTAAAGTGTCAATATGTTACTATCAATTATTAAAACAGTTAGTGTATTCCATAAGAGATCAACCTTCAGAAGAACATCAATTATTTATTAATAAAATCTCTTCGCTATGGAATATTTATCCTGACACTTATTATCAAAGTGACTGTCAAAATATTCTTACACAAGGTATAGGAAGTGAGTATGCAGTTGAATACATAACTTCTCAAATTAAAGAAGGAAAAGAAGTCCCATTACAGTCATTCAAAATCATTGAACAATTACTAAAAAATTCAATAACACATTGCCATTTTCATGATAAAATTATTTCAAAATTAGATTCTGCTAGATTTGAATCAATAACAGTATTTCCAAAAAATTGTTATAAAGAAATTGTTGATTCATTAAAGAACTACAGTTCTGAAGTTTCATTGTCATTACTTAATATTATAAAAGAATTAAGTAAATGTAATTATTCTTTTCCAACAGATTTTATTTGTAAAATATTATTACATATCAATAGAAACATTAAAATAGTTGAAAAATTTGTTAAAATTCTTAGTTCACATCCCTTGATGGAAGGTTATTTACAAGCATTATATAGTGATTGGACATTCTTTTTTAGTGAGTCTTCATTGGATAGTCTTTTTTCTTGTTTTA